ATAAATGCAAAAGGGAACCAGATCTGTATGACTGCAAACCTCTGTTCAAACTGTTTCTCTTCCCAACGGAATTGAAAAATAGTGAAAGGCGAAGGCGATGGGCAGGATTCATCAACGGGAAGGACCAAAAAGGAAAGTTTTGACTGCCTAAATCATCCCGAGTTTGTAGCGAACATTTTGTATGTGCAGCGACAACAAAGAGGGATCCCGTTTGTTAATCGAGAGGTGCAGAAGACAAACAGGCTGAGCTCACACTTTCTTGTTCTTGTGGTTTTACAGCAACATCATGTCTTGGTCTCTTTGCAGTGGAAGGTGTTTCTTGGTGAACAGCTGGTGTCTTTTGCTTTGGCGTTGACTTTTTAAGTTCGTAACCAAGACTGAGTGAGGGATCGGGGTTTTGTTTTGTTGTCGCTCCACATACAAAATGTTCGCTACAAACTCGGGATGATTTAGGCAGTCAAAGGTTTCCCTTTTTCATCCTTCCTGTGGATCAATCCTGCCCATCACCTTCACCTTTCACTATTTTTCAATTCCGTTGGGAAGAGAAACAGTTTGAACGGAGGTTTGCAGTCACACACATCTGATTCACTTTTGCATTTATGGAGTTCGCAAACACATTTCTCGAGCCGTTTTTCGCTGTTAGGATCCAACAACCACACAATTACAATGTCTGAATCCCAAAACTAAAATATGACAATATCAGAACCAGAAACAAAAGTGATATGGTTCAAAAGACTAGAAAAGATCGGCTTTGTCAATAGACACATCCCCTGGGAAAACAAACATGGCGGTTTGATTGAATCCTTCCCAGTATGGATTGCGCAATGACTGGAAGTCCGAGATTCTTGATGTGTTTATTGTTATAACTATCTGCTTTTTTTTTTTTTTTTTTTTTTTTTTCAGTCAAAATGTACAAATACAAATGTAGTAATCATGGAAATGCAGGAAGTGATATGACCGACACAACCTGTTTCTATAACTGACACCAGGAATATCAAGGGGCCATTGCACTTTTTTATTTTGTTTTGAGGCAATAAGGATATTTTTAGTTTACTTACAGACTTGATATTTTGCACTTTTGTAGCTAAGGCCCGAAATTAAACATTTTTATGTCCAAAAACTATTTTATGTTTTATCGCAAAACTGCTCTAAGGTTCATATTTGTAGCCTATATTTATTTTCAAATAAATATATAAATTCAAGTTTTGCATACATTATTAATAACAAAGTGTTTTTTGAGAGAGAAATTCTAAATAAATGCATTGTGTAACTAAATAATTATCGTTTGAATAATTGCGATTTCAAAACATTTGTGATAATGATTTTTTCCATAATCAAGCAGCACTACTCTGAGCGAGCTTGCATCTCCACAAACCTGACTCTTATTTGGCCTGTAATGTGTTTTTTGACTATAATATTCCACAGTATGACACTAAACGTATCCATCTTCCTGGAGAATGTTCCGAAGTATGGCTTTAACTCTCTAGTTCCATAGAATCATGCAGTAAATGGTGAATAGTCTCATTTTTACACAGCGTTTTTCCACACTCAACGCTCTTTACAACAAGAAACAACTCACCCATTCATTCACAGACACTGGGGGCAGGGTTCATTAAGTGTCTTGCTCAAGGAAACAACAACAGCATTCATAATTGGGAGGTAGAATCGCACCATTGGATCCGAACCACCAACCGTCGGATCAGTGGACAAACTCTCTACTAGAGCCCGACCGATATGGATTTTGTTGTGGCCGATATGATACCGATATAATGATAGTTGAAGCTGCCGATAGCGGGATATAATCACCGATATATTTAGTGATGTAAAATTCACTGTAAATCTTGAATTATTTAAAAAAAACTTAGGTTTGGCTCTAGTGGATTTTAAACTGGGTTTATTTAGGAAACATTTATTGTTATTCTGCCTCTTTACATGAAATGTCATAGGACTAAACCAGAACTGAACCAGCACTGAAAAAGCACTAAACCAGGACTATAACAGATCTAAACTATGTGCAAAACAGAACTAAACCAGAATTTAACCAGGACTGAGTGTCGGGACTCGGTCTCTATCTCTCTCCCTCTCTCGACCCCAAGATTAGTCCTGGTTTATTTATTTTATGCTGAATATATTTTTGCAAGTTTTTTTTTACACTATGCACACACAGAGTTTTGAAAGTTTCGTTTTTAGCCGCTGCCGCTGTCAAACTACCACGAGTCTGCACGCGGCATGAAGAGAAAAAAGTGAGAGAAAGAGAAAACACGGCTCCCAATAAGGATCAGGCTCCCGTCGTTCGCTTCAAAGAGCCGGATCTAAGAGCCGCTTCGTTCGTGAACGACCCATCACTGCTAGCGAGTAAATAAACAATCGCTATTAGCCTTTAGCCGTAAATGCTGCGTGCCGCGGTAATTAATTATATGCGCAAATTTCATCATTCACACGTCTATTCACAGCTCATTTACAGATCAATGCAGGTCCAGTAACAAATATATGGCCAATATAGTCACTTTACAATAGACCAATAGAAAACGGCCTGTTTATGTGTGGGAGCTACAGCAGCTAACCGCTAACCAAAAACTTGCTTCAAAGTCGACATATTTCCAACACTCACCGCTCACACAGGCTTCTCCTCACATCACAAATCTGCACTAATAAATGTCCTTTTAATCCAGACTCAAACCGATTGTCCGTAAAAAGAAAATAATCCCAGTGTTTGGATCTGTGTCTGCGGATGTAAACAAACACACGTGACTCTCACACAGACAAATGACTCCGCAGATAAATACTGATGCAGAGCCACATATTTGGACATTTATCTGACTGTAAATTGGATTAAATGAACAGAATGTAGAGAGTCTAAGCTTTATAACGACGAATAACATGCCCACGTGAAATATCGGCCCATATCAGCAAGCATATTGGCCGATAGCCGATATACTTGCTGATAGGGGCTCAATTCGGCCGATAATATCGGCCAACCGATATATCGGTCGGGCTCTACTCTCTACCAACTGAGCTTCTGCCGCCCAGCACACTTTCCATCCCCAGACACACACACTGTCAGTTTAAAACCAATCACAACAACTGAAAAATGTGTCGAGTTTTAGCAGTAACACCAGGGAATAAAAGATGCATTGTGCAGTTTTGCTTATCGAGTATAAACAGGACTCGAGGACTTGTCAAAAAACTGTAGCCACATTCACGGGAAATTCCTCACATTCAAAAATGACTGACAAAGACTCAAAGTATGCAAGAAAATTCATGTCAAAAAGGGCCTATATTACACAAAATTACTCTCGTGAGCTCTAAGTTATGTTATAATGCCGTTGCCTCCTCAAAAACAGACCTGCTGTGACCCTTGTCTGTCTACGTCTCCCAAGCTCTAAACACTCTGTTCTACCTTGTGATGTCATGAAGTAGTAGTAGTTTAAGTCAACAGCTCCTTTTACCTTTAGTTCAGTAAAGATGAGCAATTCTAGCCTGATTCATCAGCTAGTTTCACTTCATAGAAACCATCTGACCTCGCAGCATTAGGATTTGTTCGACGGTAGGTGGACATATGTAATGCGCCGTTAACGGGGCTAACTGGTATATTAAGCTTTTCCCAAATCACAGTAGGAAGAAGGGCAATAACGTCTTTCCCCTTGATAAAATTCAGCAAAGATGTAGCATGTGTCTCTGCACTCAGAAGGAGCGAGCAAACAGAAACATTCAGTCAGTCTGCAACGTACCAAAGCACAAATGTGTATTTAACGATGATTTGTACAAGAAATGGTACAAGACCTGGTTTAGACCTAGTTTAGACTTGGTTTAGTCCTGGTTTAGACCTAGTTTAGACCTGGTTTAGTCCTGGTTTAGACCTGGTTTAGTCCTGGTTTAGACCTAGTTTAGACCTGGTTTTAGACCTTTTAGGTTTAGTCCTGGTTTAGACCTTGGTTTAGACTCCTGGTTTAGACCTGGTTTAGACCTGGTTTAGACCTAGTTTAGACTTGGTTTAGACCTGGTTTAGACCTAGTTTAGACTTTTAGGTTTAGTTTAGACCTGGTTTAGACCTGTTTAGTCCTGGTTTAGACCTAGTTTAGACCTGGTTTAGACCTGGTTTAGACCTAGTTTAGACTTTTAGACCTTTTAGTCCTGGTTTAGACCTGGTTTAGACCTGGTTTAGACCTGGTTTAGACCTAGTTTAGACTTTTAGACCTGGTTTTAGACTTGGTTTAGTCCTGGTTTAGACCTAGTTTAGACCTGGTTTAGACCTAGTTTAGACTTTAGTCCTGGTTTAGACCTGGTTTAGTAGACCTGGTTTAGACCTGGTTTAGACCTTTTAGACCTGGTTTAGACCTGGTTTAGACCTGGTTTAGAGACCTGGTTTAGACCTAGTTTAGACCTGGTTTAGACCTCCTGGTTTAGACCTAGTTTAGACTAGGTTTAGACCTGGTTTTAGACCTGGTTTAGTCCTGGTTTAGACCTAGGTTTAGACCTGGTTTAGACCTGGTTAGACCTGGTTTAGTAGACCTGGTTTAGTCCTGGTTTAGACCTGGTTTAGACCTGGTTTAGTTTAGACCTGGTTTAGACCTGGTTTAGACCTGGTTTAGACCTGGTTTAGACCTGGTTTAGACCTGGTTTAGACCTGGTTTAGACCTGTTTAGACCTGGTTTAGACCTGGTTTAGACCTGGTTTAGTCCTGGTTTAGACCTGGTTTTAGACCTGGTTTAGACCTGGTTTAGACCTGGTTTAGTCCTGGTTTAGACCTGGTTTAGTCCTGGTTTAGACCTGGTTTAGACCTGGTTTAGACCTGGTTTAGACCTGGTTTAGACCTGGTTTAGACCTGGTTTAGACCTGGTTTAGACCTGGTTTACCTGGTTTAGACCTGGTTTAGACCTGGTTTAGACCTGGTTTAGACCTGGTTTAGACCTGGTTTAGACCTGGTTTAGACCTGTTTTACACAACATAAGTTGTAAGATGTTTCCTGTTTGTTCTACAGTTTAAACGTTGAACCTCATGTGGAGGCGACTGATCAAGGTGCTTCCTGTTTCCTTTAGTGGATGTGACTTGTGGTTAAGACCTTCTATATGAGCTGATGTTCACTTCACCGGCCTTAGGCTCAACTCCGTTTCTCCTCGGAGAGAAGAGGACGTACAGGCTTCATTGAATTACCACATAAACATTTAGAACTTGTGTGAAGTTCTCCTGATTTCAACAAAAAGACGATTTACTTTTGGTGAGTAACTTTTAAGATACGACCTCCCTGTAAGACTGTAGAGCTTCGACCCGACCAGTGTTGGGAAGGTGACTTTTAAAATGTTTTCCCCTACAGGTTACAGATTACATACCTCAAAATGTAGTTTGTAACATAATCCATTAAATTACTTAAAGTGAGTAATGTAATCTGAATACTTTGGATTACTTAATTTGCTGTAGAGAAACAAAGACGAGGAAATCTTCATATAAGAAGTTTTGTCTGTTAAAAGAAAATAAAAAGCCCAGACTTTCCTTAACCGTATTAAAATATGATTGATAGAAGAGGAGGAGACACGTCCATGCAGCATGATTTAGTCCTGTTAAATCCTGTTTTAGTCCTGGTTTAGTCCTGTTTTAGTCCTATTTTAGTCCTGTTTTAGTCCTGTTTTAGTCCTGTTTTAGTCCTGGTTTAGACCTGGTTTAGGTCTAGTTTAGACCTGGTTTAGACCTGGTTTTAGTCCTGGTTTAGTCCTGGTTTAGATCTAGTTTAGACCTGGTTTAGATCTAGTGTAGACCTCGTTTAGATCTAGTGTAGACCTGGTTTTAATTCTGGTTTAGTCCTGGTTTAGACCTGGTTTAGATCTAGTTTAGACCTGGTTTAGATCTAGTGTAGACCTGGTTTTAATTCTGGTTTAGTCCTGGTTTAGTCCTGGTTTAGACCTGGTTTAGATCCTGGTTAGATCTAGTTTAGACCTGGTTTAGATCTAGTGTAGACCTGGTTTTAATTCTGGTTTAGTCCTGGTTTTAATTCTGGTTTAGACCTGGTTTAGATCTAGTGTAGACCTGGTTTTAATTCTGTGGTTTTAGTCCTGGTTTAGTTTAGACCTGGTTTAGATCTAGTGTAGACCTGGTTTAGATCTAGTGTAGACCTGGTTTTAATTCTGGTTTAGTCCTGGTTTAGTCCTGGTTTAGACCTGGTTTAGACCTGGTTTAGATCTAGTTTAGACCTGGTTTAGATCTAGTGTAGACCTGGTTTTAATTCTGGTTTAGTCCTGGTTTTAATTCTGGTTTAGACCTGGTTTAGATCTAGAATAGACCTGGGTTCACTCCTGGTTCAATCCTGAATTAGTCCTGGTTTAGACTTGGTTAAAAAAAAAAAAAAAAAAAAAAGAAAAAAAGAAGGGATACAGGAAAATACCGCCGTGTAATCCATTAATTTCAACAAAGTAACTGTAATCCAATTCCCACTCACTGAAACAGTAACTGTAACCGAATACAGTTACTCATAATTTGTACTCTGATTACGTAACTCCGGTACATGTAATCTGTTACTCCCCAACACTGGACCCGACACACGTTTCATTCTACAAGACAGGACCCTGGATCTTTAACTGTTAAAAACGATGTGTTAACGTTGCTCACATGTCCCTGTAAATGTCCCTGTAAATGTCTATAAATCATGTTTTTGTTTCTTCATGTGTAGTTCACTGTTATGTGCCATTATAATTTGTATTTCAAGTTCTGCTGATACAAGAGACTGACTAAAGCAGCACATGAAAATACATTTGTGCACGGTCAGGTTCAGGGTTATTTTCATGAACCTGTTTTTCTTTTGTTCAAAACCTGTGTAGTTGCCGATTATTAATTTTATATTTATTTGTGAAATATTCAGTGTTGGTAAGGTGACTTTTAAAACATATTCCCCTACAGAATACAGATTACATACCTCAAAATGTTTTTTTTTTTGATGTTTGTAACGTAATCCATTAAATGACTTTAAGTGAGTAACGTAATCTGAATACTTTGGATTACTTGGTTTGCCGAAGACGAGGAAATCTTCACATAAGATTTTTTGACTGTTAAAAGAAAATAAAAAAAGTCCAAACTTTACAGAACCAAATTAAAAATATGATTGATAGAAAAGGAGGAGACACGTCCACGCAGCATGATTTAGTCCTGTTAAATCCTGGTTTAGACCTGGTTTAGACCTGGTTTAGACCTGGTTTAGACCTGGTTTAGTACTGGTTTAGACCTGGTTTAGTACTGGTTTAGTACTGGTTTAGACCTTGTTTTAGTCCTGTTTTAGTCCTGTTTTAGACCTGGTTTAGACCTGGTTTAGACCTGGTTTAGTACTGGTTTAGTACTGGTTTAGACCTTGTTTTAGTCCTGGTTTAGTACTGGTTTAGTACTGGTTTAGACCTTGTTTTAGTCCTGTTTTAGTCCTGTTTTAGTCCTGGTTTAGACCTGGTTTAGACCTGGTTTAGACCTGGTTTAGACCTGGTTTAGACCTGGTTTAGACCTGGTTTAGTACTGGTTTGGACCTGGTTTGGACCTGGTTTAGACCTGGTTTAGTACTGGTTTAGACCTGGTTTTAGTCCTGGTTTAGTACTGGTTTTAGACCTGGTTTTAGACCTGGTTTTAGACCTGGTTTAGACCTGGTTTAGTACTGGTTTGGACCTGGTTTTAGACCTGGTTTAGACCTGGTTTTAGACCTGGTTTTAGACCTGGTTTTAGACCTGGTTTAGACCTGGTTTTAGACCTGGTTTTAGACCTGGTTTTAGACCTGGTTTAGACCTGGTTTAGACCTGGTTTAGTAATGAATGGAATTACCAAAAAAAAAAAAAAAAAGAAAAATAAAAAAAAAAATAAATAATATATATATATATATATATATATATATATATATATATATATATAGCCTGATATAGGGATATAGCCTGAAATGTGAAAACAGGAAAATACCGCAGTGTAATCCATTTATTTCAACAAAGTAACTGTAATCCAATTACCACTCACTGAAACAGTAACTGTAACTGAATACAGTTACTCATAATTTGTACTCTGATTACGTAAACGTCGGTACATGTAATCTGGTGACCTTTTACCTTGCCCCGGAAGTAAACAGAGAGAGAGAAATATAGTAGCTGCCAAAAGAGAGAAAAAGACGACAGAGAGAAACACAGAAAAATGTGTAAAGAAAAAGACGCTACTTAACTACTTAACTACCGCTGGTTTTACACGAACACAGTAAATATTGTTTTCAATTCTGCATTCATTTAAAGGTATTCATGTAAACCTAAGATTTTTCTGTGTCTGTCTTTATTTTAGTTTTCACGGTGTTTCAATGTGTTGATGGAACTGAAGATTACTAAGTATTAGGGATGGGTATGATTAGTCGATTAATCGATAATTGATCATTAAGAATTTAATCGATTAAGTTAATTTTAATCGACAAACCGAATGTAGGTTGCTGTGCGTAGCCTGACCAAACAGGTGTGTACATGTGTCTCTGCATCAGAAGGAAAGAGACACAAACATTCGGTCAGTCTGCAGCGTGCTGAAGCACAAATGTGTATTTAACGATGATTTGTACAAGAAATTCCACACTTTCCGTTGCGTTGGGACAAGTGTGAGTCCATGTGCACAGTGTACAAAGCAGCACATATGTTTCAGTGTCCAGTGGGAAAAAGTTTTTCCAGGTGAGAGTCGCTCAATGTCGATGACGAGTCCCCACCTCCCGTACGGTGTCCTGGTTTTAACAAACGCAAATCTGGTCACACTAACCTGTATTCAACTGAATCATGTCTTTTAATCCGACAGAAATTGAACCACATCAGCGACACAAGAGCTGGAGTTTTATCTTCGCTTAGTTGATGCAAATTAGCGATGTGGTTTTAAGTTTTGTTTCTGTGAGAGTTGCGCAAAACTGAATTAAACACATTATAATGTCAAACGGGCTGATGTGGCTCTAGAGTCGTTACGGTTTATATGTCGTAAAGTTGAATTTATTTATGGAGATTAGTAGTGCAGATAGTAATAATAATGATGATCATTTTAATATAAAAATGTTAATGATTAATCGATAATCGATTGTTAATTCTTCCGATCGATTAAGAAAATTTCATCGAATGTCCATCCCTACTAAGAATAAATACTGACACATGATCATCAGTACAGAGCATGAAGTCCTTTTTTGCCAAGAAAACCAGGGTAGCTACAACCTGTAACAGATAATATTGGAAATAACAGTGTAATGACTAAAGTATTAGTGTTCGTGGTCATAGAGCAGAAGCAGCACAGTTCAATGGAAACTGTTGTTAACAGTCATGACTTTTTCTGTCCTTACAGAATTAAAGTGGCTCTGTTCCACCAAAGCCCTGGCTTCTGTCTTCACCTGTGTTACATTTATCAGATCCACTGAACATGTGGATTAGAATTCAGAGTAGGGATGGGCATTCGATGAAATTTTCTTAATCGATCGGAAGAATTAACAATCGATTATCAATTAATCATGAATGTTTTTATATTAAAATGATCATCATTATTATTACTATCTGCACAACTAATCTGCATAAATAAATTCAACTTTACGACATATAAACCGTAACGAAGCTAGAGCCACATCAGCCCGTTTGACATTATAATGTGTTTAATTCAGTTTTGTGCAACTCTCACAGAAATAAAACTTAAAACCACATCACTAATTTGCATCAACTAAGCGAAGATAAAAACTACAACTCATATTTACTTAGTTTTATGGTGTTTGTTTATGTGCTGCTTTGTGTTGTGTTGTCCTGTTTTTTGATAAAGCATGTTGAATACAGGTTAGTGTGACCATATTTGTGTTTGTTAAAACCAGGACACCGTACGGGGGGAGGGAGGTGGGGACTCGTTATTGATATTGCGCGACTCTCACCTGGTAAAACTTTTTCCCACTGGACACCGAAACATGTGTGCTGCTTTGTTCACTGTGCACATGGACTCACACTTGTCCCGAACGCAACAGAAAGCGTGGAATTTCTTGTACAAGTCATCGTTAAATACGCATTTGTGCTTCGGTACGTTGCAGACTGACCGAATGTTTGTGTTTGCTCGCTCCTTCTGAGTGCAGAGAGCTACACGTACGGATCCCTGTTTGGTCAGGCTACGCACAGCAACCTACATTCAGTTTGTCGATTAAAATGAACGTAATCGATGAAATTCTTAATGATCAATTATCGATTAATCATGCCCATCCCTAATTCTGAGTAACAAACTTGTTCAATGTCTCTGTTTATGTTTCCTTCATTTCATCTTTTGCTACAGACAGAAAAAGCGTGACTTTAAAATCAAATACAAACTTAGTTGATTGACTGAGTGTGTTTACATGCACATCCGTGTTCCGTTACGATCGGGTTTTTTGAGTGTCCCAGTTTTGTCATGGTGCATGTACACACAATATCCTGGTTATGAGAAACCGTAGCTGGTATATTCTGATAGTAACCGGGATACTGTGACATGTTACTGCAATGTAAACCTGAGTGCGCATGCGTCCAAAAGACAAACACCTTACAGTCTTTTTATCACAACAGTAGCGACATAAATAAAGTGACAAACATAAATAAAGTGAGCATAAATGAGTGTAAAATGAAGATCTGCGCTAAACCTGCACACGTACAATCTGCACTCGTACGACCTGCACTCATCTGATCGCTGAAAACTTAAAACATGAACTATCTCCTACAATATACACACTGAACAGACTCACCATCATTAGCGCCTCTTCTGTCACAAAAAGAACACACATAATTCACTGAGTCGTGTCCTTTAGTCCGACAGAAGCTGAATCGCATCAGCGGCACAAGGAGCGAGCCGTTTTTATCAGCTAACAGTTTATGCTAATTAGCCGTGCGGTTTTAAGTTTCCTTTCTGTAAAAGGTAAACAAATGTGATCAAAGTTGAATTATCTGATCAAACCTGCTGATGTGGATCTATAGTGGTTATGGTTCAGATGTTGTAAAGTTGAGTATATTTATGCAGAAGATTTAATGAAGAATCTGTTGGGTTTGATCTGTGCAGTGGATTGTGGATATCGTACCGCTGGTTAAACCTCCCGAACTTCCTCTGCTTCCTCTTTTCCTGGTTTATTAAATTGATTTAAGTTCATTTTTACATTTGAGCATTTGTAAGATTATGTCAAGAAACCGGGATACTCCGTTTGATCATGTCACAGGGACATGAGTGTCTCGGTTTCTCCGCGCGCATGTAAACACATTATCCCAAATCCTGACATAACCAGGATACTGATGTGCATGAAAACGCACTCATTCTTACATATGATTTACTATGTGTGATTTTATGTGTATTTAGTTAAGAGTTACTTTATAAGAACAGTTTAAAAAGTGATTTTACTTGACACTTTCTTTCCTTTGTTCTGATGCAGAGCTACAAGATCCATCAACAGAATGACCTTCACATGTGACCAGTGTGGAAAGGTGTGGCCAAATGCTTCAAAACTGAAAAAACACTACAGAACTCACACAGGGGAAAGACAGTACGAGTGTGACCAGTGTGGGAGCCAATTTAAAGATTCTAGTGGCCTCTATCAACATATGAGAATCCACACAGGGGTGAAACCATACAGATGTGATGTTTGTGAGAAGACATTTTCACACTCAGGCCACCTAAAATCACATATGAGAATCCACACTGGAGAGAAACCGTACGAGTGTGACCAGTGTGGGATCCAATTTAAAGATTCTAGTAGCCTCTATAAACATATGAGAATCCACACAGGGGTGAAACCATATAGATGTGATGTTTGTGAGAAGACATTTTCACAGTCAGGCAACCTAAAATCACATATGAGAATCCACACTGGAGAGAAACCGTATGAGTGTGATGTTTGTGAGAAGACATTTTCACAGTCAGGCCACCTAAAATTACATATGAGAATCCACACTGGAGAGAAACCGTACGAGTGTGACCAGTGTGGGATCCAATTTAAAGATTCTAGTAGCCTCTATCAACATATGAGAATCCACACAGGGGTGAAACCATACAGATGTGACGTTTGTGAGAAGACATTTTCACAGTCAGGCAGCCTAAAATCACATATGAGAATCCACACTGGAGAGAAACCGTACGAGTGTGACCAGTGTGGGATCCAATTTAAAGATTCTAGTAGCCTCTATCAACATATGAGAATCCACACAGGGGTGAAACCATACAGATGTGATGTTTGTGAGAAGACATTTTCACAGTCAGGCACCTAAAATCACATATGAGAATCCACACTGGAGAGAAACCGTATGAGTGTGATGTTTGTGAGAAGACATTTTCATGTTCAGGCAGCCTAAAATCACATATGAGAATCCACACTGGAGAGAAACCGTACGAGTGTGACCAGTGTGGGATCCAATTTAAAGATTCTAGTAGCCTCTATCAACATATGAGAATCCACACAGGGGTGAAACCATACAGATGTGATGTTTGTGAGAAGACATTTTCACGGTCAGGCAGCCTAAAATCACATATGAGAATCCACACTGGAGAGAAACCGTACGAGTGTGACCAGTGTGGGATCCAATTTAAAGATTCTAGTAGCCTCTATCAACATATGAGAATCCACACAGGGGTGAAACCATACAGATGTGATGTTTGTGAGAAGACATTTTCACAGTCAGGCAGCCTAAAATCACATATGAGAATCCACACTGGAGAGAAACCGTATGAGTGTGATGTTTGTGAGAAGACATTTTCATGTTCAGGCAGCCTAAAATCACATATGAGAATCCACACTGGAGAGAAACCGTACGAGTGTGACCAGTGTGGGATCCAATTTAAAGATTCTAGTAGCCTCTATAAACATATGAGAATCCACACAGGGGTGAAACCATATAGATGTGATGTTTGTGAGAAGACATTTTCACGGTCAGACAGCCTAAAACCACATATGAGAATCCACACTGGAGAGAAACCGTACGAGTGTGATGTTTGTGAGAAGACATTTTCACGGTCAGACAGCCTAAAATCACATATGAGAATCCACACTGGAGAGAAACCGTACGAGTGTGACCAGTGTGGGATCCAATTTAGACGATCTTATCATCTCCATAAACATAAGAGAATCCACACAGGGGTTAAACCATACAAATGTGACGTTTGTGAGAAGACATTTTCACAGTCAGGCCACCTAAAATCACATATGAGAATCCACACTGGAGAGAAACCGTACGAGTGTGATGTTTGTGAGAAGACATTTTCACGGTCAGGCAACCTAAAATCACATATGAGAATCCACACTGGAGAGAAACCGTACGAGTGTGATGTTTGTGAGAAGACATTTTCACGGTCAGGCAACCTAAAATTACATATGAGAATCCACACTGGAGAGAAACCGTACGAGTGTGACCAGTGTGGGAAAACGTTCTCTCAATTAGCCCTACTCAATACACATATCAGAATTCACTTCAGGCACAGTACATGTGACCAGTGTGAAAAGTTCTTTAGAACATCCCAGAAACTCTCCAGTCACTACCGAACGCACACAGGAGATGAACCAGACGACTGTGAAGAAAGAGGGAAGGATTTGGGGTCTGTGGGGAAAGGAGAAAGAGCTGCTGAGGCTGGATCAAGTGAGCTTAAAGTCAGACTCAAGAAGCTGGAGATCAGGCTTCAGAGACTTCAGACTGTGGAATTGTCCAATGTGTAGTGTCAAAAATTACAAGCGTTAAATGACACGTTAAGATGTTTTTCTTTCCATCCATGTTTGTTCATCTGTTCTTTGTTGTATTGCTTTTAACTTTGTGCGTTTAGTCTTGTTTGATTGCAGTGCCTGAAATTAAAATTCCTGTTCCCTTAATTAAAATCTTTAATTTTCTTTAACTTTTTTATCTTGGTATGATCATAAATAATATATTTAGTTCCCTCTTTATCGTTAATAAAAGGTTGTCCGACTTGAAACAATGAAAATCCTTACATTTAAAAAAAAAATTCTCATTACTGTTTATTTTGGTACGATCATAAATGATAAACTAATCAAGATATTTTTGCGAGTTCGTTCACATTTCCAATTAAATGTGGCTTGTAAGTGATCTCCAGTGTGAACTTTAAACAGCCCAAAGGTGTCCTGCATTGGAGGACACGATGATGTCAAACGCAGCGAAGATTTTAAAGTTGTTGTTGTACCGGAGCCAGAACATGGACAGGTCATTTGTTTTGAGGAGATTGAGAAGGAGAAAGACAAGGTTTTTGGCTGTGATGTTCTGTGGGGCAGTGGCAGCAACATCCCTGACGTCCATCCAGAAAGGTAGAGACGTAGAGAGGTGGAGTTGTAACCTGTTTTTTTCACTGGCTTTTAACAAATGGTGTACATTTTTTGCTACTGAGTATCTTATTGTTTTCTATGTTTTCAGTAGTTGTGTAGTGTTTGTATTGTGTATTTTCTTGTACAGCGATTGTTCTTGTCACAAGGACAAAAGTTTGTAGAACATTATCTTGGGTCATTTCAATAAAAAAGTCAATGTAAACCATATGGTATTTTTAACCGTGTTGCCATGGTGATGCACGAAAGCTCCAATGTTATCCTCATGGGAAAGATCAGAAAAGTTCCCATTCATGAAAAAAAATTTACAATCAGGGAATATTCTCAAATTTGGCACAATGACTCTTAATGTCATCCTGAATCAAAAAAGTCAATGACAACCATATGGTATATTTCACAGGGTTGCCATGGCAATGTGCCAAAGCAACCATATTATCCTAATGGTAAAATTTCAACAATTTCTTACATTTCAAAATGATAAAACAATTTATTAATTTCATTGAAGAATCTGAAATTTGGCACAGTGATTCTTCAAGTCAAACCGATTAAAAAAGTACGGGGGGCCAAAGTCGTATTTTGCATGGTGTTGCCATGGCGATGTCCCAAAGTGCCCATGTTTATTTATGTTAACACATCAGCATCTCCAAGGTGTGCTGACTGTGTGTATTTACTGACAAGTACAGAACAAAGCCACAGTCACATGGAGACGGCACGTCAGCGCCTCCCGGGGGGAGTGCCATGCCGGCCGAGTGCGAAGCACGGTCCGTGAGGGGTATTCAATGCCGCTTGCGGCTTTAATTTAATTTTGGTTTTGGAGACAAATAATGAAGAAAATTGTTGCTTTGTCCGTTTCTTAATTTTGTTTTATTTTGAAAAACGAATGATACACAGATTCAGGATTGTCGTGAGTCATACGAACGTCAGTTACAACATTATAACATAGACAAGAAAATATTGTAACATGAGAACATAAAAGACAAATATATGTGCATAAACTGAGCTTACAATTTTAAAGCAGAACAATGGAACGTTTCTATAAAATGTAAAACAATTCTGAGCGTGCGAGGCGTGAGGTCACTGGGAGTGCGACCCCATACCGAGCGAGGTGCAGGAATGTGAGGTTATGTTTTGCAGGGCTCCTTCACTCAAGCACCAGAATAGAAACCATCCGCCGCGTAAAGCCCGACCACGAGGAGAAACCAAGACACTGTTATAGTAGGATCCCACATGACTCTGCGCCTGGACCCAGCAGCTCTTCGGTAATGCGTCTACTGAGAACATTTGAGAAGGAGGGTCGAAAATTCAGTCTCAACAAAAACATGCCATTAATTAAAAACAGTTTCTTGCTTATGGCGATTAATCAAGTCAAGACAAAGCTGCCAAGATGCACCAGCTTTCTTCTCCCTTCTGTTTACAAGCTGGCTGAAGGCAGTTACGAAGTTATAGAAAAGAATCTCGACATGGATCTCAGCCGACATATGTTCTGCACACATCTGGGAAATTCATTACATGAGAAAACACAAAAAGTCAGGAGCTTTTAAAAGGCCCATATTACGTTATTTTCTGATCTATGTTATAAAGTTTCTTCATCAAAAACATCATTGGAGTTGTGTTTTGTTTCATTCTCACATATTTAACACATGAATCCTGCATATTTAACCCTTCCAGACAGACGGTATACGATACCGGCGGACATGTTTTACATAACCGTACATAATTTTTTAACCATAAAAGATAGATTTTTTTTCCGTGTATAGATAAGACCCGTGGCTTTCCGAGCATCTTTCCGGCATCATCCTACGTCACACGCACGCTGCGTGGTGACGTAGTGAAAACAGCTGTCCAATAGGAACTTTGCTCTTCGGCGCGTGACGCGCTCCATCCATTTTTATTGGCCCAAACTTTGCCAAAGATTGTTGTAAGTCAAGATAGTTACTCCTCTGAGTGTCTGTGCTCATAGCATTTGATAAAGCAGGCCTCAGTACCATTATTCCTCAAGTAAATGGCAAATTACGCATCTCGGTGTGCGTAATTGCGCATCCCTTACTATTTTTATTTGAAAAGTTGTTTTTTTACTTGCAAATGATACTTCAGGTGTCTCCCCAGCTTCATCAGTGTCTACAACTCCAGCCACCCGTCCAGAACCATCAACACGTTCAACACCTACGATCTCCTCTGAGAGCAGGAGGAGGGGCAGGGATGGAGGGCATGGAAGATCCAGATCTCCACTCCTCAGTACTTCATCTCGACCACCACACTTACTAACCGCCACACCAGGAAGACCGCAGCAGGCAAGGATCATATGGGAGGCTGTCATGTGTGCACTGCTGACAAACACAGGGGAAGAGGCAGTGTACTGCATGGAAATGCTAAGGCCTGTGATGTGGCACTTTGCCTGGTGCCTGATAGGAACTGCTTCCATGATTGGCACTAGTGAAGGACTTGGACGAGTGCACTTTTTTTTGTTTTGAGGGCAAAAATGACATTTTTAGAATACCTACAAACTTCATATTTTGCACTTTTGTAGCTAAGACCCTAAACTAAGTATTTATTATGTCTAAAAAGTTGTTTATACATGTTTGCTGTGTGTTTTGAATAAAGGAGTGTGAATATTATTTTCTGTTTTGTTTTTTTTTTTTTTGTATTTCTAGTTCTATAGCTTTTATTACAGCCAACCACGACTGAAAAAAAAGGTATAAAAAGGTTATCCTGGTTCATCCGTCTCGTCTTCGTCCTCGCAGCATTACGATTCGTTCGACCAACAGTAGGCAGGTACATTTTTTTATTTAACCAGTCGTTTCTATATGTTCGTGATGTATGTAATGCACCACTAACGGGGTTAAATGGTATAGGCGAGTTTCATTGTTGACAAAAGCGCACATTGCATGCTGGGAATTATTTTGGTCAGCGGCAATAAACACTAATTCAACATGACGGACGGAGTGAGAAAGCACGTAAAGTGTATTGATCCCGGTTATTTATCCACTCTAACGGCAGAGGACTGAAGACGATTTGACCAGAAATTGGTCATAAGCATCGATGGAGCCAAATCACCCTTTTCAACCCCTACAAAAGGTGGACCAAACCAAATTTCTGGTCGGAATCGCCAACTACCTGGACAAATATTCACTTCGGCGATATCCACAATGACTTGGTGGAAACTCCTGGGCCATTCACAGCAGAAAAGACGAAAGACTACAAGAGTCTCGATGTGTTGTTGAACTTGTTGGAGTCCAC